GCTCAGGCCCCGGAGGCAGGGCCAGTGTGGCGGGCTTTGCTTTTCACTCTTCGCTCACCACTTCTGCCCCGAAGGCAGGGCCAACGCGGTGGGCTTTGCTCTTTGCTCACCTCTTGGGCCCTGGGGGCGGGGCTGGCATGGTGAGCTTTGCTCTATGTTCTTTGCTTGCCACTTGGGCGCTGGGAGCAGGTCCGGCGCCTTGGGCTTCCCTCTTCACTCTTAGCTCACTCCGCCACCCTTCGCTTGCTGCTCCTGTCCGGGCCGGCAGGCTTTGCTCTGTTGCTTGGTGCCTACATATGCAAATTAGCCGCCATATTTGTTGGTGGTAAATTTGCATATTGCACTGATTAGCCAATGGGAGGCATAGTGAAGGTACAGTCAATTACCATGTTTGCCTATTATTAAATAGGATATTTAAATGCCATTTAAACAAAGAAAAATCAACCAAAAAATGAGTTCACGTGTCACCTCTGACACACATGCAAAAGGTTCGCCATCACTGGCCTAGGGGAAGGAAATGGGAGGAGTAGCAGGTTCACCCGTGTCATTCACACAAACACGTGTATACATTCTGCTTCAAAAGGTTCGCCATCACTGGCTTAGGGGAAGGAAAAGGGAGGAGGAGCAGGTTCACCTGTGTCATTCATACGAACACTTGTATACATTCTCTCCCTCTTTCTTTGTCTCTACACCTGTTTTCACACAATCTACAGAGGCTGAAATTGAGATGAGCTAAGGGCATTGAATACCAGGTATTTAAAGGATTAAATCTGTGCAATCCCACAGCAGCAAACTTGCTGGAGCTGCAAATGCACAGAGAGAGGTCGCTGTATTTTCAAGAAAAAATTCAAGAAAGCTGCTGCTTCTATGTAATTCAGAGATCTGTTTTCCTTAGTGAAGTGCGGTCCCCTGTCGAGAAGCATGGGCAGCACCTGGATCTCAAAAACGCCCAGCCCAGACCTACTGACACAGAACCTGCATTCAGAAGATCCTTGGGGAAACTGAGGCACGTTCAAGTCTAAGCAGCACTGACAGGCTCAGTGCTTGAGCACTAACCTAGGAGCCAGGAGGTCACTGTTCCATTCCTGGTCAGGGCACATGCGCCAGTTGAGGGCTCAGTCTGCAGTAGGGTGCATGCAGGAAGCAGCTGATCAATGATTCTCTCCCACAATTGATGTTTCTATCTCTCTCTCCGCCCCCCCTTTCCCTTCCTCTCTGAAGTCAATAAAAATATTTTTTTTAAAATAAAGCATGGACCACACAGTGCAATCAGTGTTATGAAGGGGGAACACGAGGTAGGGGGGACACTGTAGGAGCAGGAGGAGGCCCCTAATCCAGCCCTGGAGGTCACTTCTAAACCCAAATCCAAAGGAGTTGTGGGAGGTGGGGGTGGGGGTGGGGAGGGAGAAGGTGCATGGGAAAGCCCTTACTGATGGATGTGTATTGAACCAAAATCAGTGTTCTTTGTCAAAGTTTACTATTCATAGCATTTAAACACCAGTCATAATTCTAGAATAGCATATGTAAATTTCTTTAAAATTTCTGATAAAATGTGTGCTTTTTCAGTTTACAGAATGTCCTAATCTATACTACTAAAAGAGTAATATGCTAATTAGTCCGAGTCGACCAGACATCTTCCAGTTGTTCAGTCCTCCTTCTGGACAAAGCCACGGTGGCAGGGGCCGAGGCAGAGGCAGTTAGGGGTGATCAGGCAGGCAGGCAGGTGAGTGGTTAGGAGCCATTGGTCCCAGATTGCGAGAGGGATGTCCGACTGTGGGATCGGGCCTAAACCAGCAATCAGACATCCCCCGAGGGGTCCCAGATTGGAGAGGGTGCAGACCAGGCTGAGGGACACCCCCCCCCACACACTGCGCATGAATTTTGTGCACTGGGCCACTAGTTATATAATAATCTTCAGTTTTCCATCAGAGCACATTTGGAAAGAGAAAGGGCATTAATCATATTTTAAGTGGACATTATGCTTCCAGTTAGATGTTTAAAAAAACCAATTTTATTGAGATATAAATTCACCTACCATATAGACCCATTTAAAGTGTATAATTCAATAGTTATTAAAATAAAACATTAATTTTAAAAAATTATGTAAACAAATATATATAACAAAATTTTAAATTTTAACCAATTTAAAGTGTGCAAAGTTCAGTGGCATTATCAGATAGATTGTTTTTCTATAAATCTGTATGGATTAACAATTATATAAAGTAGCTGTAAATTCTTATAAATTAACCTGTGCTTTGGAAAATACAAAGCTGTGGAAAGTTCTCTTTAATTTTATTTTTTATTGATTTTTTAGAGAGGAAAAGGGAGGGAGGGAGGGGAGAACAAAGAAAAAGAGATAGAGAGATGTGAGAGAGAAACATTGATCAGCTGCCTCACACCCTGACCAGGGATTGAACCTGCAACCTGGGTATATGCCCTGACTGGGAATGGAACCTACACCTTTGGGTGTACGGGACAACGCTCCAACCAACTGAGCCACAACTGGCTGGGGCACCTTTTTTTTTTTTTTGAAGCTTAGATAAATATTTAAGGCTTAAAAAGAAAGACTGCTAGATTAAATTATTTAAAATGTAAATCTTCTCTACCAACCTGCCGGACTCGGAGTTGAATGGATGCCCTTCTGGAACTGCTGGTAGCTAAGTTGCCAAAGAGAAGGAAAGCCTGCCTGAGACTTTAATCACAGAGGCAAAAGAAGTCCTCTTTGGCCTGGGCCAGTTTAAGTTTTGTGTTCCTCGCAGCTGACAGAGTCCGGGCACGGCACCTTAGTGACGGCAAAAACATCGGGGAAGGAGCCTGGACCCTGAAACTTTGCAGAGGAGAGGAGGCCTGTTAACTCCGACTTTGTGTGTGACAGAGAAGTAATTTATCTTGCGGAAATCACTTTTATTTTGAGCCATTCTATTTCATCTGCTGAACTGGTAATGTAATTAAACAAATGGTCACCAAAACAGTACCACATTTTAATTAGATTTTGATATGATACTGGGGAAAGAGCAGCGGATGATAATCAGCTGAGAGGAACTTCAACCAGGTTTCTGGGTAGAGAGCACCTACCTGGGTTTCCCAATGAAAAAATGAAATCAGTCTAATGAAAACATATAATCCTCTCAACATTAAGGGGAAAAATGTAAAAAATATGTAAATGTTAAAAAAAAGAGTCCAGCCCTAGCCGGTGTGGCTCAGTGGATAGAGCGTCGGCCTGTGGACTGAAGGGTCTCAGGTTCGATTCTGGTCAAGGGCACATGCCTGGGTTGCGGACTTGATCCCTAGTAGGGGGCATGCAGGAGGCAGGCGATCAATGATTCTCTCTCATCATTGATGTTTCTATCTCTCTATCCCTCTCTCTTCCGCTCTAATATATATATATAAAGAGTTCAGACAAATGGACCCAATAATAATGGATAAATTAAATAAACAGTTGCATACCATGCAGAAATTGAAGATGATGTAGCACATATACATTTATTAACAGGCAAAAAGTTCATTTTAATAAGTTTTAAAAAAGCAAGATCATGTATGTAGGTTTTTTTTTTTCAATGCATGACTATATATCTGCATTGAAAATGCCCTAACCGGCCAGTGTGCTCAGTGGTTGAGCGTTGACTCGTGAACCAGGAGGTCTCAGTCCGATTCCTGGTCAGGACACCAACCAAGGTTTCAAGCTAGGAGGCAGCCAATCAATGATTCTCTCTCACTGATGTTTCTATCTCTCCCTTCCTCTCTCTGAAATCAATAAAAACATTTAAAATAAATAAATAAATAAATAAATGCCCTAAAAAATTATAACAAATGCTTACCAGGGTTTTTTCTGCATGGTGAAATTATCAGTAATTTTTTCTTTTACTGAAGTGTATTTTCTGATTTTTCTTAAGTGAATCAAGAATGCAGGAATATATTAAAACTCAGAGTTAATGATCTTGAGTGTGTTAAAATAGTTTTATGGTTTTGAACTTTAGGTTGAGTGCGTTTTTTTCCTGCACTTTGTAACAGTATATCAAATTTCTTATTCTTAGTAATCTGAATTAGTATTTCTTATTCCAAATTACTTTTTTAAATAACACTTCATTACGAGCTAATGATCAGAACTCAGTTTCACCTTGTCTTCCCACACTGATAACTTTCATGCTTATAAATTGGCTATTTGAATTGACAAGATGTGTTAGCCAGAGTTTCG